AGTGTTTAAAACATCCGAAAATTTGGTCAGTGTTATACAGCGACTCTAATGGATCGACTGACGGTGCCATGGCAGAGTTCGGATATTCAGGCTGGTCTAAAAAACAGGGCATCTGAAAAATCCGTCGGCGACTGTAGTACAATTACAATTATTGTATTCTCTCAAAGTTGTTGCTTTAACCCCAGAAATTGAGGTCTGTTTTGGGGCTTGGTGTCATGAGATGCCCACTCCTCCTCATTTTATTTAACAGCAGCAACCTTAGCAGTGAGGTTTGATTTGTTTGTGTCAGGTCTGGCAGTTCAAGGAGTGTGCACAGGGCACTTGCAGTGTTAGGTGTGATTTGACAATGGTTGTGCTAATGAGTTAATGTTATTTGTAATAACCAGGAGTCCATAAAAGCAGCGTGTTCATGTGGAATGCCTGGAGACAGCTGTGCTCCTGAGAACTTTGCATCAAGACCCATAGATGAGCCTGTTGTCCGGCCGCAACAATTCAGTCGAACCGCGCAGAGACACTTTTCCTCCTGATGCATTGTTTGGTCGCGGGAGTCCTGTTGTTTTGCTGCCTTGCCAGCCCCTGTCAGCTACATCAGTCGTCAACTCATCCATCTACGCTTCTCAGAGACTGCAAAGCAATATTCCTGAGCAGGATGAATGGGAGAAACAATAAAGCCGCGCGCACGTGCAGTGCCGCCTGTTTGGCGCAATGCTAATCATATCAGGCCAGCTTTAGCCTGCCCAGATGCTCTTGCTAACTTTGTGGTCCTACGCCATCAACCGGGTATCGACCATTGGAGGCCAAGGCGTGATCACTATGCACCAGCAAGAAGTGCAGGATAGGTGGACTTTCGGCCACTGCGTGAGGAGGAGAATGTGGAGGTGGACACCACTGTTTAAATTTATATTATCCGGTGCAAAGAAGAGCGCCATGCCTGTCCTTTGAGAGTTGAGACCGTCAACTTGCAAGTACAGTAAAACCTCATTACTTCGAAGTATTTTTACGGTCTGGTATTTTGCAATGTAAGTTTGAGCAGATAATTTGAAGCGGCGGTCAGCACCAGTTCGGTCAATTAAAAAACTTTGGGTGCAGTGTGCCAATTCCCGATCCCGATTTCGCCGGAAAACTGGGGAAACGACAGCCCTTAAGAGCCAATAAGCAATGTACTGTAGCGATACTAATTAGTGTCAGCTGAAGCACGCCAACCTTGATACTTCCAGCTCAAAAAACAAAAGTGTTAAAAAAAAATGGTCGCGTGCTCAACTAAAATGTGCACCTGTAGAAAACACGACGTGCTTCACTGCAACACAGCAATCCCGCGTGGGCAGCATGTTGCAGACTTCTCGAAACATCAGCACGTCATGATTTACCCATTCTTTCTAGGAATATAAAGAAAGTAATGAAGGACAGTCTGGCAGAATCTGTGATGTATGCGAACCTCTGAATGCCGGTTGCTCTAGCAATTTTCGTACTTGCACTGCTGGCGGAGTTCTTGCCTGCAACGCCTACTTCGAAAACTCTGTTCGACAGCTCCAACGATCATGTTTTCCAGCCGAAACACAATGCAAATTTTGTCACACTGTCCATTACTAAATTCTTTATTTCACTAGAAAGATTGGGCGAATGGTCTAATCATGACATGCTGACGCAGCGAGAAGCAGGCGACATGCTGCCTGCCTGTCATTACTATGTTGCAGTGAAGATGCCTTTTTTTTCACAGGCGCGCATTTCAGTTGAGCACGACAATTTTATTTTTTTGTGTGTGTAGTGGCAGCAACGAGGCCCAGCACTCCCCCCATGTTTGCGGCTAAATTGTGATGCAGCTGTTATTGCTGGACAACATAACCCTTGGAGCAGCAAAGTAGCCGGCACAAGAAACAACCAGCCCTGCCCCGCCGCGGTGGTCTAGTGGCTAAGGTACTTGGCTGCTGACCCGCAGGTCGTGGGATCGAATCCCGACTGCGGCGGCTGCATTTCCGATGGAGGCGGAAATGTTGTAGGCCCGTGTGCTCAGATTTGGGCGCACGTTAAAGAACCCCAGGTGGTCAAAATTTCCGGAGCCCTCCACTACGGCGTCTCTCATAATGATATGGTGGTTTTGGGACGTTAAACCCCACATATCAATCAAACAACCAGCCCTGATTACTTTGAATTATTTCAAGTTTATTGCATCCCCCTTTTTGTATGTTCTGTTAATTAAAAAAAACCCTTAATTTGAAGGTTTCTCACGGTCCCAGTGACTTCAAAATAACGAGGTTTTCCTGTACTTTGTATAAAGCAGTTTCTGTCGTCCAACTCGTCCCCATGACTGCTCTGAGCAGGACTGGTGTTTGCACCAGCCATGCAACCCCATTACTTACAGTAGTGGAAGCGGTGGGATGCTGCGACATCCCATTCCTAACAGTTCCCATTGAGGCGCAACTGGCGCACTGGCAGAATCACTATCATGAATATAAGAAGACCTTTTAGATATTACTATTAAAAATTATTGGGGTATCATGTGCCATGTCAAGTGTTTAATGTGCATCATACCTGCCAAGTTCAAGTATTCTAAATCCGGGAGAATTCCGACACGGGGCTGGAGAGGGAAGGGGGTTGTGCTGAATCATTTGCCCCTACTTTTTTTTTTGGCATAAAAAAAAGGCCAAGGACAAAAAAAAAAACTATTGCGAAAAACAAGAGGGGGTGGGGTCTCAACTGCAAGCGCCAACATCAGCATTTCGGTCTTATAGTAGCTTGGAGTGGTTGTACATGCGAGGGTAGGGTTTCCCACTAAGATGAGAGCCTCAAAGAATCAACACAACTGGCAAAATCTATTTCCGTCAAAACAACTTGCTTATGTTTTCCTGTGACACATGTGAACGGATGGGACGATGCAGATGGCTGCCGCAAAAGCGCGGGTCAAAGCTTTGCTAACTACTAGATTCTTTTGACAGGAACACCAAATCATGACTGGCCTCTTTTTTTTTTCATATTTACTGTCTTTAATCTACCGCTGCGTTCGCCGCATGCCCTCGGAGCTCGTAGATCGCTATTGCGTCGCCATGACTGTGGTTTTGTGCGCGGCACTTGCGGCTAACGGTAGTTCCTTTTTCAATCCCCGTGCGGTTAGCTGCTTATGCACCTTAAAAATTAAGTCACCTTATGCTATCTAAAATCACCCCTGCTGTGGTTTTGTCCGCAGAGTTTGTGGAAAGCAGCGTTGCTATGACTGGTTGAGTGTTCGGCACGGGCACACTATCAGGGTTTTGTCAGGTAGGTCGTTGCCATACACGATTGTGTCAAGAACGACCACCGCTTCATCCACAGCGGTTGTGGCAACGACAATCACACGCACCGTAGAAGACAGTGGGTGCCCCAGCTGCATGCATACTTCCAAAGCTTCGAGTATGTTACTCTCGGCCTTCGTTCAACAGTTTCAGTACTAAAGTTCATATCACCCGCCACGATTAGAGTGTTCAAAAGATTCTAATTCCGGCCCAATGGATATAGTAGAATTTGGCAGGAGAATTTCACGAATTCGTATCTACCAGAGTTTCGCATCCCTGAGATTCTACTTTTAAATTTATTTATAGTAAGATGGGGCAAGTTCGAAAAGCCTAGAGCGGATTCAGCTGCTTTGTTGTCAATGTGTCCAGATCACGCAGAAAAATTTCGATTTCTGGGAGATTTTCATGACAATCGTACAAACGGAAGAAACAGTCGAAATCCGGGAGTCTCCCGGTGAATACGAGAGACTTGGCAGGCATGGTGCGTGATTATGAGGCTCACTGTAGTGGGGGCTCTGGGGTCATTTCAACTACATCTAAGCACACAGCTGTTTTTTAGGGTTGCCACCTTTTCTCGAACAAAAGAAACGACCCGAAGATGGGGGAGGGGGGGAGAGAGCTACTTAGGAGATTAGTGTTGAACAATACACGCTATGTCAGGTATTTAGCATGCAGTGCCATTTAATGTAACATTGTTTTGCTTGAGCCAAATAAACCTGATGTACAAACAAAAATGGCACACTGAGCTAACCTACTAGTCTAATTGCTGGCATAAAAATGCCCATGATTATAATGACGCTTCGTTTACTGCTCTAAAAAAAAAGGCCATTGTCAGCGGCTACAGACCAGCAACCAGTTCGCTGTCTAAAAAACCAGCTGAGCAAGTCTAAAACAGGACGGGTGACAACCCTAGTGCTTAGAGTTTTTGCGTTAACGCCTCATCGAGCCTAGAAATGCGAGAATACTGTTTCAAGGCAGGCGAACAACTGGGCATCCATAATTGAGGTAGAATGCAGCAGTAACGTGAGAATATCAAAGAGCATTACAGCTTGTGTAGGTATATGAGAACGTATATATTACAGCTAGAAATTATTGGCTTGACTGTTTCACGACAGTATCAGTGTACACAGGCTTGTTGCCCAATGAAATTATGTGCAGGTAAACCAAGAAGAACCTAATTAAAATGCTCAAGATATTGCATTAGTAGTTTTTTTTTTTTTCAAATCACTTATTGCATAATAAATACAGTAATTTTCAGAATAAAACAATTAACAAAATAAGTCTTTGGAAGCTTAAAAAATGAACATGAAGAAACTTTCTTCCTCGTTTATAACATGGAATCTTGTGTAATGTGACTCAGTGCTCTAAAAGCTTTTCTGGGCAGATGCTTGAAAAGAAGGTGATTCAAGTGGATCCCACTTCTGCCATAGTGCATAATGCACTGCAGTATGTACAAATAAATAAATGAAAATTCTTCTCTAGCTCATCTGCTCGCAACTCACCAGAAAACTGTTTTCATTTTATTCTCACATATATATTAGGACAAGAAGAAAGAGTGCTGGACACACGGCAGCAAAGCAATGACACACTTCATTTCTTGTTCTTTCGACGTCCTGTGTCCCAGTGCAGTTTGTTACCGTCCTAATCACATACCAACCAGCCCTAAAAAAAATTAAGCCCCAGCATACTTCCCAATATAGATCAACGACAGTAGGTCTATAAGTGAACGCCTACCTTGCGGCGTAGTTTGATGCGTCTCAGGGACTCTGAGTACGGAGGTACACAATCCTGTTTCTCAAAGCCAGGAGTGAGCACGCTTCCCTTCAGCAACTGCAATGAAAAACTTTCTTGAGCTCACAACAGGCGATGGCTTTAAACTACTATTTTCTTCCTCCTGTTTTAAAGAAGAGTGATTGCACGCTTATGCACACTGAGCGAGCCACTGTTTACAGGGCACAAGACTTTCAAGCAGAAAATTATAATTAAAAAAGGAGTTAAATTTTTGTGATGTCTAGCAATACAGCCTCAAATGCGAAGTTCTGATTTGTAGAGGATCTTGTGAGCTAAACAATGATTTTACGATGAAAATGTGCCATAGCCTAATATAGCGAAAATTTCCATCTGTTGTGGAATGCATGGCCATCAGTGAATTGATCAATCAATAAATAACATCAACATAGCCTAATATAGCAGAAATTTACATCTGTTGTGCAATGCATGGCCATCAGTGAATTGATCAATCATTAAATAAGATCAACATAACACTTTCCTTAAAGAGTAAAAATACATTTGCTCCACTATATGCCAGAAAGCTATGCACACCACTAGAAAAAAATTGATTGAAACAAACAAAAAGATAAAAAGCAGGGTCAGTGTGAGGATGTCAAGTGACTGAAGAAAAGTAGTCGTGGCATAGAGTTATGTATATATTAAGTAGCATTATTGCAATTGAGCTTCATGTACCATGTATTATGATTAAGGTATAAAACGTACACTGGACGAAAACATTCAAATGTTTGTTTAACCAATTATTAGCAGAAAAATAAGATCTTCGAAATTGACAAAGTAAATATTGTCAACTACACCAGGGTTGCCTTTGATGGCTACTTTGCAGCTGATTGGCCATTTTTCACCTCATCTGGTGACGAAAATTCCCGGCTGGTACTATGGTTCTTTTCTGGGTACCTTAAACTTATATTTTGCTGCATTTAGGAGCAATTTTCCTGAGTATCTGGGGATAAAATACCTAGGAAACAAAGCAACTATACTCTTTCCCCTAAGATTTTCTGACACGTCACATGATGCGTCCGCATGTCTTCGCCGCGCGATCACTGATGCACTTTGAGAAAATGCACTTACCAGGATATAGCGATAAAGTTTATGTTATTTTTCGCGTAGTCAGTAGTGACTAACACATGCTGGGAGGAATGGGGAGAGGGCGGGGGGGCAAAAGGCCAAAAAATTAGTGCTTTTATGAATCCGAGTAAAAGTGATACATGAGAAAGGTCCCTTTTTAAGGGCCCCTTTTGGCTAATTTCAAACTGACGAAGTTGCACGCACATTGGTAAATTCGCGACTAGCACGGTGCTCATGCTGACAGCTCATGCACAGCAAGCACCTGTTCTCCTGCCAACTTGACAATCACGAGAGATCCGCAAACAAACAAAAAATTGATGCAGTTTCACACAAGTGCTGCGAAGCCTGAGGGAAGTGCAGAGATGGGAAGTCTACCTTGTTTATCTTCTTTTTCTTTCTTATCTTTTTCTGGGTTTTTTCCTCTCTGTTTCCCCATTTCTATAAATTTCTATTTTGCTTCTTATTTGGTTCTTTCCGATTATCTCTTTCTTGCTTGCTACTTCTTCCAAATTTTTAAACATGTATTTGCCTGCAATACTACAAGTGACGACAACAGAATACGATCGCGGCATACGACAGCATAGGCGTCTGCAGGGTTCCCTTTCAGGGGAGGGTGAAGGTGCGTCAGAGCGCACGCTTCCCTATTTATTATTGTCAATGTATGGGGCTGGCTGTGCGCTCCACCACTTGGGTGACTAGGGAGGGCGACTGCTCTCCCTGCCCCACTCTCGCAAGCGCACGCCTTTGTTTGACAGCATACAACAGCGAGGCCCTTTAAAGGAATACTGAACAAAACTTTTGCAGCCAATATTTTTTAGCCAGATCGATAAATTGGATCCTGAAATCGATAGAGACAACCTTCATTCCAAGCAGAAACTACGGAAAAATAATTAACATAATGCGTCTTTCACAAACTGTCGTGTTTAGCGGCAGTGCCGTGAACTAGAAGATATGAGGTTGGGTGACGTCAACTCACCAGAAACTGGCATGCCAACAATGCCAGCCCATCGCCCGCGTCTCTCGACTTGCTCATCTTTCATTTGGGTTCCGAAACCGGTATGAACAGCAACAGCAGCGAACAATGCTTTCGGCTGGGGCAAAGTGCCAGCGCTTTTGTGGAAGGGAAAGAGGAGAGTGAAAGGACAGCTGGAGAAAAGGAAGTGGAGGACAATAACACGCGCATCCTGCATGCGCCTCGGTGAGTTTGACATAACTGCTCAACTTCGCGAGCAGCCCCCGTGCGCTCACAATACAACTAACTGTTCAAAAATACAGAAAATAAACTTCGTTTATCTGAACAGCGGCATCTTCTGAGTAGAATTTCAAAGTTTCGTCAGTTTTTCCGATTTTTGTTCGGTATCCCTTTAAAGTACTGCACACTTGAAAGAAGGTGGCCTCGTCATCTTCAACCAAGCACTACTAGAAATCTGGGCTGGCATTGCAATAACTACTCATCATTTCCTGTCCGTCACTTCACGCAAGGCCTGCTACTATGAATAATGTTCCCACCAGTAGGCAGAAATGTACCAATCTTTTTTACTGGCAGTCAATTTGTTCATCCTATGTAGACTACATGTATGCTCACTGAACTTACAATTTGTTCGCTTATTTACCACTAGATTACGCTTGAAAACTATGGATGACTAGAAAAAAAAAGTATTTACTTCTATTTCACTATAATGAGTAATATCATTCAAAGCTATATTATTCATCGTTCAAATATGAAAAAAAAATTCTGCATTATACAGCATTTCTACCATTTGGCTACAAATTTGGTGGTAACAGTAAATACCATTATATGGCCTGGCTACTTTAACCCGAGTTCTGGTTCCTCTTTGAATTTACCCAAGGGCAACATCGATGTACAGTATGGTCCACTGTTAAAGGGAACACTCGAATGCACAATATCAATATTCCTGGCCCTCTAAGAGCAAGTGGATTAAGAAGCAATCTTCATACAAGCCAATAGTCTGTCGAAAGAAGTCGGAACTTTTAACCAACAGTAGCCTTATGCATATCTAAGCCACTATGATTCCGTAAGATAGCGAAGTCTAAAAATGCTGCTCACGCAAGTGTTTCCTTCAACAGTGGACCCGTCTGTACATCATAAAACTGCATCTACCTCAAAGAACTATTGGGGCCGTTTCCGAATCAAGGCGTGGAGATTTAAAATTAAAAGCAATATGCTTGTGCATTATTGTTGGCTGCCAAATTTCTTGTATCAGCAAAAAGACACTTAGGCGATTACAGTGTACTATCACGTCAAATGAAACCCGAACAGCAGAGTGCGTGTTTCAAGTATTAGAAACAGTACAGTGTTGGCTGTCCAGTCATCACTATTGACAGACAGGCACATCCGGTTTGGCAGCACTGCACGATCCACCTAGAGTGCGTTATTTCCGTTTCTGCTCTAGCTTTCGTATGGTGACAATGGTGGAAATCGTGGGCGCACCGAGCGCTTTTGATCGTATCACTCGCAATTTCTTGCATTTACTGCAGCGTCGCAAAGCAATCGGTGTCTCAGCTTGATAAAACGAAAAGAGAAATATAAACGACTGTCGTATTTAGTTCACCAGTGCTGCTTTACCTACACCTTTCTTTCAGAGAACGACCCGAAAAGGCTTCATTTTAACTGGAAACGCCGAGTGTTTCTTAGGAAGAGAGCACGCAAATTGTTTCGCTTTACCGCCACGAAGTGAAACAGCGTGAAATCTCCAGCATTATGAACTTACCTTTGCCTACTATAAATACAATTGACTCCATGATGACAAACTGTGCTATACAATACTCGCCTTCGGCTGCAGTAGTTTAACCTCTGTATTTTAAAAAATTTTTATTCCTTTCAAATACCCTACCTGGAACACAAGCAGAAATATTGCACAATAGAGGGACCGTTCAGTGCTGCCACACCGGATGTGTGGGCCTGTCTGTGTCATTGACTGGTGGACGGCACGCACTATGCCATTGATGAGGCTTGCACAACGCACTCCGCTGTTTGCGTTTCATTTGATGCTGATAGTACATAGCATGCAATGTGACCGAAGCGCACAATTATGCACAAACAGGAAGATCATGTACTAAAATAAAAGCAAAATGCTCACACTGTCAGCAGATGACTCAAGCATAAGTTCCTTGACCTTCTGAGCCGACTTGGATGCAGCATCATGAGATGCCACATATGTGTCATCCAGATTGATTCCCGGGTTCAGCTCCGATGCTAACTTAACCCTGCATCAACACAATGAAAAAGAAAGGCAAGCAGCAATTATTCATAATTTGGCAGGAAATTAGGTCCAAGCAGAACATGATATACATCAAGCACACACTCGGACAGTTTCATACAATTGACACGCCAGAGACAATCACATGTGTTTTAATGTCGAAATATGCGAACACTGAACAACACACAATGGACAGATGGATGACAAGTCGAACTCTCACTAACAAGGGACAAGTTTTGCGGTCTCAACTACTCCACCCCATATAGAAGTTGAAAAATGAACAAAACGCCAGAATTAGCTTCTTTTTCACAAAGAGCACTTATATAGCCAACAGTATTATTTAAGGTGTTTTAATGTATTGACATGCATGAAATAGGCTAACTCCGCTTTCCCCCTCCCCCCATCAATGTATTTTATTACCCCACAGGGAGAAGCTTTGCAGAACATGCACGGAGTACAATGGGAAACAGAAAGTATATCACGCAGGAGGTAAATCTAGGCCATTTGATTGGAGAGATACACGTGCTGTGACGGTGTCACACGGTAACCTTTCGATCACAACAATGATCGAATTGTTCGGCTATCATTGACTTTATTCCCTAGCTTACGCAAAGGAAGAAATTGTGATCACAAAACTAGGTCCCGATTGGGCTGGTTAGCGATTTAAAGTGCACAGAATGATGATGGTGTTTTCGTTTAGGAACATTCAGACCCTCACCCAACTGTTAAAAGAAACAATAATGCTGTGTTATTTTCGTCAGCCATACCATATCAACAGCAGTGTCTTGCAGCTTAATAAAAAAATGACGAACAGGAGAAGCGGCCTAAGCCCAAGAATGGCACACACCTTTCTCGGGTCGTGCGTGGTGCTTCTTCAGTCTCCGGCTCAATCCGAGGTTTGCTGTCAATGACGAACACGAGCGTATTAGGCTCGTCATCATTGTCATCCGAATCGTCTGAAAATATGTCAAACCGCACTTCTCTATACAGAGGGGCTGACGCACAGCCAGGAACTAAAATTATATGTGATCAAGCGCTTGCCACGAAGAGCGAACACGGCACCTGACGACTTACCCGACCCGCATTTCGACAGCGTTATGCCGTCGAACTTCTGAAGATATCTTGACTGCAGTGACGAGATTATGCTGGGGGGGTCTTTGGTTTCTGACATTACGGCGACGTAAACTGATTCAAAAGGCGATTAACTGATTAAATAGGAGGCGTTGATTAAACTCTCACTATCACGCTAGCGGCGACCACATGGGCGCTCGAGTTCAATGAAAGCTGCCATATTGGCTAGTCTTGTCATGTTTATCTTGACTAGTCTTGACTGCGTTGGACTACCAATACTGTAAAAAACAAAATTGAACCTAATAAAATCAAATTTCGTACGTTCAATTTAACTAAAAAGTGACTTACATGTAATGTATTAGGAAGTTGTTATAACGTGGTGTATCTTTGTTTCCTAAACAGATAAATATGTTTTACTTTAGTAAGGTTTGTTTTCGTTCGATATCATCATCAAGTAAGTAGAGCGGCGCCCAGTTTTGTTTACGTTTGTAAATCGCGTTGTTGCTTCTTGAAATAGTTTTGCTTTAGTGGAGGAAACAAAAAAAAAAAAAAAAACGTGTGTCCCTAGTGCTATATTCTTTACAATTCTATAGCTTGTTCAAGTCTACAGTAAATGCCAATTCTCGTGCCAAAGGTCGTCGATGTGCTGAAACGATCTCAGTTTACTTGGACGTCTGTCGGCGTTTTCACGGTTGGTATCCGTTTTCAAGCTGTGCATTACAAAAAGAGGGTGCGTGGTGCCGGCGATTGCAAGCTTATCAGTACAGCAGGAACGAGTTTCCGTGGCGTTGTAAATAACTTGAAGCACAACTTGGTCGGAACGCGCCAGGGTAGAAACTACGGCCTTGGTGTTGCTCTGCCAACATAATGTTTCTGTCTGTCTCGCAGGTTTGTGCTGTGTCTTTTGGTGTCGCTATCTGACACTATGTTCTCGTTACGATTACACTACGCTGACGGGACCCCCTCGCCCTAACTATAGTACTGTGCTGACGGGCCCCGTCACCGTAGTGCCGCGCGCGCGGGTGTGTTTGTGTGTTGGGAAGGGGGGTGTACAACAGCTAAAGTGGCACTTGAAGGTTTAATGATTGTCCGCCGCGGGGATGTAGAGGTTAGGGTGCTCGACTGCTGAGCCGAATTTCGCGGGTTCGATCTCGGCCGCGGCACTCGCGTTTCGATAGAAGCGGAATAGTAAAGGCCCCTGTACTGTGCGATGTCAGTGCATGTTAAAGAACAACATATGGTCGAAATTTCCGGAGACCGCCACTACGGTGTCCCTCATATCATATCGTGGTTTTAAGACGTTCAACCCCAGATGTTATTACTAAGGTTTAATTTTTACTTTTGAAAAAAAGAAAAGCTTTATAAAACTTAGTGATGTGCTTGCGCCTCCTGCCGCAAATATTCCCGCCTATCTTTGTTTCCGAAAACTTTTTTATTATATTTTGCAGCCACTTCTTAATGTCGCCACTGTCCTATGCATCTAAAACCTTCAATCACATCAGTAGTGGGCTGTGCCACGCAAAACCTGATTATAAGGGCTAGAACGGCCTACCTGGATCAATAGCCTCCACTTGAAACCCTGTCAACTTCACACTCTTGTAGCTAAACCTATATCATCATAAGCATTAGTGTACACATTGGTGCACTACTTCCCCTTCTAACCATTGAATGGAGCTGCCTTGTCTGTCCCATACCTTTACTTGGCCAGACCTACCCCGTCATTTTTTCTAGCCCAGGGTTATTATGGCCGTGCAGGTTTTCAAGGATATTGTCAGCTGAGGATCTGTCACATTTCATTCTAATAACTGCATACTTCCCACCTTTGCCTTCGCAGAGCTCGAGGCCAAAGGAAAGATGTTCTGGGAAACTCGTCCTCATTTAGTTATCATGTTCGTATTCATTGCAAAGATTGTTTTTTATAGAGTTGACCAATTTGAGGGGGTCGGACTCTGTGGTAAAATTGCATTCCCCTTCTCCCCTCTAATGCAGAGCCCTGTGCACACTGGTATCCTAATCAATTTCGTTCCTAGTCATTACTGGCACACTGGTCGCTACCTCGCTGTTATTATACAACACTAGATATCAGTGGATAGTGGTTACTTACTTTTCGTATTAGTTTAGTTCCATGCACCACTTACTCTCCTATGCATCGCCGTATGTACTACGTCCTTCTGTTGTGCCTTTGGGCCTTGAGGGTACTAATAAATAAGTGAATAATTACCATTATTATATTGTGACTCTACATCTGCAGGTCATCTTTGTTGCGCTGTTAATGCACCAAGGCCTACTTTCCTTGCTAGCTCGCCGGGCCCTAGCATCCATGGCAGGCATTGGTGCCTCAGGAAACTTCTCCTCTGGTACCTTTTCGGTTTCCTATGTCACGGCACCCAACCAGGATGTCGCCAAGAAGCTTGCCACGTGAGGCTCTTGTACCAGCTTATTTTACTTATGCATGCAATTTTAGGTTCCATAGTTTCTCACAAAAAATCTATTGTGCACAAGAGACACTAGAAAGTGCTAGTTCCAGCTGAAAGAAAAAAAAATATTGACAACAGAAAAGTGCTAATCAAAAGTGCTATTCATATGTTTTTGGTTGTCTCTCATTCTTGCACTGAGACTGGAAGTCATTCATCACCTTTGAGGCCTGCTCTTAGTTTTTTATAGTATGAGCAGAGGTTTGATGACACAGAACTGACACGAAAGTGGAACATAGACTGAGTTTCAGGCTATCAGAATAGTGTATCGAATTTTAAAGTATTGCTACGGTGTGATCCGGGCATGTGAGAGGAAGATGAGGTTGTCGGGTGTGGCCGGTGGACTCCAGCCTGCCATTGCCTGACCTCATTCTCATCTTGAAAGTAAACACCGTCAACCTTAATTCAAACGTTACTGTTGTTGGTGGAGCTTCGAGGCAGTCTGATCTAGCGCCACGGTTCTGCAAGCACTTGATCTACGCCGAAGTCGCCTCCTTGCTTAACTACTTCTGCTACCACTGGCGGCTGAGGTGTCTCACGGTGATGATGGAAACCGGATCCCCGAAGCTGGCATTTACAGCACCGCTAGTGCCAGCTTCGGGCGTGGCTGGTCCCTGGTTGCGTCAGGACCTGTTAGTGCCTCGCACATTTGGTGGCAAATCTGGCGAGGGATGTGGACACCTAGTTCACACACTGCAAATGGGTGAGCAAATACTACTAGTGGGATGCCGAGACCCAGCTATCCAATGTAGTATGCTTCTTGACAGACACAGCACTCATGTGGTATGAGAACCTCCAGGATGCGCTCACGTCATGGGATCGCTTCGTGTCTCAAATAAGGCCGAGCTTTGGAGATACTGTATCAAAGCCAAAGCAAGCAGAACAAATGCTGTTGTAGAGAGCCCAGATCCCAGGTGAGGCGTGCACGACCTATATCCAGACCATCTTGAATCTCGTGCAAAATCGTCAACACTTCTATGTCAGAGGAGGACAAAGTTGGCCAGCTGTTGAAGGGCATTGCCAAGATGTATATCAGTTTTTCATCAGCAAAGAGAGCCTTGGAACAATAACCGACATCATAAGCAGTGATGGAAGTGCTGCTCCAAAAGAGAAATGATGCTCCAAACAGTAATTTTCGTTAATGATTGCTCCAAACATGCTCTGAAATGACACTGAGAGAATGAGAATGACAAACTTTCACTGTTTGACTGACTCATAAGTCCTAAAGAAACCGAAAAGAATCTGTGTACTATCATCCCAGTGTGCTATAGTGTAGGAGCATTATCAGCTCTTATTTCATTTATGCAACAAGAACTGGCATATTAAGCATATAGTTCATTTGGCTTTTTTTTTCCTCAGCTAGACTTTCAGGCTAGTGCAGTGAAATGTGAAAATGAACAGGATTCCTTTTATCTCATACCGATTATCTACTGCTTATTTGGCAAAAGGTATATGCAACTCTGGATAGTTTTAAAATGTGGCGCTCGCCCCGCCTCGGTGGTCTAGTGGCTAAGGTACTCGGCTGCTGACCCGCAGGTCGCGGGATCGAATCCCGGCTGCTGGCGGCTGCATTTCCGATGGAGGCGGAAATGTTGTAGGCCCGTGTGCTCAGATTTGGGTGCACGTTAAAGAACCCCAGGTGGTCAAAATTTCTGGAGCCCTCCACTACGGCGTCTCTCATAATCATATGGTGGTTTCGGGACGTTAAACCCCACATATCAATCAATCAATTAAAATGTGGCCCTTAGCTTTTTTGGTTTGATTTAATTTCTGCCACAAATACTAGTATATCAAATTATACTTCATTTCGCAGCACATTTTTCACAACCTGCCATTGTCCGCTTCATGAAATTTACATTGATTGTTGTGTGTTAACTTTTTCGTCACCACGTCTATTCAAATTTATCAGTGGTGATTCATGCTCTGAACCATCTTTTTTGTCATGTTGAATTTGTTTCACAAGCACCTAGCACTTCCTAGTAAGTGCATTCCAGAATCAGTTTGAATTTGCCCGATTTGGCAATGTAGTGCTTTTTGACAGACCTTTTCGTAAACCAATGTGTGTGTGCGAGGGGGGGGGGGGAATGTGATTGGCTGACGAACTTGAAAAAAATGCATGCCATTTGTGGCTATGCTGCAGTAACATTGACATTCGGTAATCGAAAAAAACCTCAGCGAGTCAAATGTCAAATTATGGCAGCTGCTTCGCAATCTGACAATGTTGATCCATAATACCGTTATGACAGGTAGATTGCCACTATCCCTCAAGAGGAAGGTATATAATAGCTGTATCTTGCCGGTACTTAGCTACGGAGCAGAAACCTGGAGACTTACAAAGAGGGTTCAGCTTAAATTGAGGACGACGCAGCGAGCAATGGAAAGAAAAATGGTAGGTGTAACCTTAAGAGAAAAGAAGAGAGCAGAGTGGATTAGGGGACAAACGGGGGTTAAGGATATCATAGTTGAAATAAAGAAGAGGAAATGGACATGGGCGGGGCATGTAGCGCGTAGACAGGATAACCGCTGGTCATTAAGGGTAACTAACTAGATTCCCAGAGAAGGGAAACGGGTTAGGGAGAGACAGAAGGTTAGGTGGGCAGATGAGATTAAGAAGTTTGCGGGTATAAATTGGCAGCAGCAAGCACAGGACCGGGTTAACTGGCGGAACATGGGAGAGGCCTTTGTCCTGCAGTGGACGTAGTCAGGCTGATGATGATGATGATGATGAATACCGTAATTGGCTCTATCTTATGCCAGCTATTTACTAAAGAGCTGTTGTTTGTATATAAGCATTATCCGTATTGCATGTGTCCGTCTAATCATTAACACCAGCAAGCTCTTCGTATAAAAAAAATTATCTGAAAAATATACAAGTGCACCTGTGTATCAAGAAAAACTGGGAAATGCTTCCCTGCATGGCAAGAGCTCTGAAGCAGTACCTTGGTTCAGATTTCTTTTTTCTGTTTTGAACGGGGAGATGGGTCCTTGAGACCGAAAGTCTCAAAACAAGTCAATGTTTTGAAAACATTACTTTTAGATTCTTGGGCCGCTATCGATGCATAATTTCACTGATTTTCATGCATCATAGATTGCTATTATAGCCATGACAGCATTTTATGCTATATTAGTGGGCTAAACTTTTAGCAATGGATGCGTGAAAAATGGGCTTTCTCAGCACCGAGCTGTTGCCGTTCTACGCTTGCTACAACAGCCATCTTGGTCGCACTCGAAAGAACCACCCTTTTCATTTTTCATATCCCAACGCGCTTGTTTTCATTTACTCAGTATGCACGCCATGAATCCGCATCAAAAAAAAGTCCCGCCACGTGAGCCTTTCGTTGCTGCGAGCACACGACTAAGTCGCACTTTCTGATTCGCCGGGCCTCCCGAGCTGTCTGCTGTGCGCGGCGGCGAAGCGCACATGAAGCGGTGAGTGTATCTCTCTGGCATATCACCTTGTTCTCGTCGGCGTCACAAACCGGGCAAGTTAGCAATAAATCAGAGCAAGCATTTCTGATTCTCAACAGTCTGTACGTTCTGACAGTGTACCGGCATTGCGCTGTGCCGCAGTCTCCAAAACAGTGCGTTATGCCTACGCTGTCAGCCAATTTTGTAATCTTTCATTATGGCTAAGCTGTATTGCAAGTTCCGCACCGCTAACAAGTTTGAGAAAAAGCAAAATAAATCAACGGCACAGCGAGATAATGGCACGGGTACATCAGAAGGGCACCAGTGCCAGGCGGCTCAATGACAGAACACGATCTATCGGTTGAAATGCCAACATCTCCGCCTGTTTCGCTGGCCGCCTTAAACGAAGTCAGTGATAGGCAGCGTGGCCTCAAGGATAGATACAACCTTTTTTGGCAAGCGCCGATCCTGCGCAACAACAGGAAGTGAGTGACGATAAGATCTGCAGCTTATCATTATGCATTATTTGGTTCTCTGCAGTGCGTGCTGGAGTACTTTGATAACTGGCAAAAACTTTTGTTGTTGAGACATCTGAAAAATAGCCATTTTCTCGCTGTAGTGACAGAGTTGAATGTATTCTATAGTAAGTACTAAAGGGGCCCTGAAACACTTTTTTTCATAATCATGGAACGAGTTCACCGGAAGAGCTTATTGCCTAAAAAATTCAACGCCACAAAAATTTTAGGAATCCATCCTGTGCCAGTGGAGTTACAAAGATTCGTGGCACACAGCAATTGCATTCTCTCTTCTCTCGTCCCGACAAAAGGGCTGCAATCTATGCAGAGAGAAATAGCAGGGGCAAAAAAAAAAAAAAACACGTCACATGCACCTCGTGACCTTGAACACTTTTTTCTCTTTTTTTGAATAAGCAGATTTTTTTTAATTTCGAAAGTCTGCCCCTAGGCATAACAATTTTTGATTCAAAAATACACATACAAGTTTTCTTCATGTATAAAGTATAGTAGAGAACAGTGGTTTTTTCAGTGCGACTGCTCGTGCACGTGTGGACAAGTCGCAGCCTCCTGTGGCGATCTCTGTAACAACCTTGCGCACCATGTTCAAATCAGCCAATGGCTGATAGATGGCCTTCTACGAGTGACTTTTGAGTGTCTTTGGTCATTTCTTGAGGGAAGTGAAAACAATTTGGGCTGACTTTGACAATTTATTGTGAATTCGGGGCCGCCTGCTGCCCTATAACATTTGGCTAGTGTGTTCTTGGGAGCCTCTACTACTGATCGGCAGCATTTTCTGACCATGCTGAAAAAGTGTTGCAGGGCCCTTTCAATATTTACGAGATGCATGAACAAGGCTCTGAGCTTCAATTCGTATATGGCTAATTTAGTATCTGCTACTGAAACACCAATAGCTACTCCAAAGCAGTACTTTTCCTGCTCCAAGGTATGCTCCAAAAAGTAAGTCATTTTCATCACTGCATAAGCCGCTGTCGCACATTCGAGACTCTGCAGATGTGGCATATTACTTCCAAACTCGGTCGCCTACCAAATGTAACCACCGTTGCAAGTGTTCACAAACACGCCGCTTGATACTGCGTCGACAATATGCGAGATGATTCGTGAAGAGCTTACCGTATTTACTCGCATAATCCTAGCACTTTTTTGGTGGAAAACCGATGCAAAGTTGGGGTGTGCGAGAATCACGCGGGGAAAACTTTCCAGAAAACGTACAGAGCGAAAAAGAAAACGAAGTGGCCGCAAATCGGGATTCTCAAAACAGCAACTAACAGCAAGCTTTAAGAAGTACTAATTAAAACTTACCTCAACAATAAATGCACAGGTTGAACACAAGGCAAGATTTATTTGAGACACAAAAAGTGCAAGCAAATAGTCTAGAATTAGAATACCATACGCAAAGCTTGTGGGCGTTGCGGGCGTGGCAGTAGCGTTTGTTGCTCAACAGGAGCCCTGAAAAAGTAAGCGTAGAACGTCAGTATTGGGCTAATAACTATTTAACAGAATCATCAGTGGTTTCCTTCTGAAGAAACAAAGTTTACCATCAATCCCAGTTTTAGGCACATGGCAGGCCCAACGTGTCTTGGTGGCTTTCAGGTGCCGTCACTAGTAGCGAACACAAAACTCTTATGCCCGTAAAGGCCTACCGGCGGCCCTGTTGCCGTTGTTTATATCATGATCTATCACTTTCAACTTGAAAGCAGCTGTGTAACTTCAGTATTCCCCCATAACATAAGATTACCGACACAACATACAAAACACGCCGCAAAGCGCACTTGTCACTTCGGCTTGTATTAGATCGAATTGCTGTATAATAGTACGCTTGATGCTTAAGAGATGGCGCCAGATGGTGTGCGCTATCATGATCAGTGGCTAAAACAAGCAGACGACATTATTGCGGCAGTTTTTGAGGGCGTGATAATTACTCGAGGAAAAAAAAATCTTATTATTGTTGGGCGATGTGGGGGGTGCGAGAATTATGCGAGTGCGAGGATTACGCGAGTAAATATGGTACTTCATGCTGTATGAAGCTACGCTATAGCCGCTTCCCTCTCACTGTCACGTGTCGATGGCCACTGCAGGCATCGATGACTACATGTACAAGCCAAACACACCACCGAGGCCACAGCGCAATAACGACCTGGTACATAGGTATGAACACCATTTCAGTTACCCTTGCCAGCCCGCCAACACCTATCACAACCCAAAAGAAGATGCATTTGTGCCACCACCATGTCCCCGCAATACCTTCCAGGAGTACACTGTATACAGCCAAGCCCCTGTGTGTTACTGTTGCGGTATCGCCGAGCATATAGCTCGATTCTGTCATCAGGAGAGAGAGCCGACATCATGATATGATTCGGTTATTGGCCCACCTATTCTAAGGGCACCTCACGGCAGGAGAATTACCGAAGCAGTTCTTCCGCATCTGACCGTAGTTTGGTGCATCCGTCTGCCCAATTGGCATCGCTAAGATGAAAGTGAACAAAGTAAAGTAAAAGATGGAAGTGAACAAAGTACAGTAAAACCTCGTTAACTTGAAGTCACTGGGGCCACAAGAAATCTTTGAAATAGGTGGCTTTTTTTAATTAACAGAAAATTCACAAAGTTGGATGCAAGTAATTTTGAATCGTTTGAAGTAATCAAGGGCTGGTCGTTTGCTGTGCCGGCTAGTTTGTGGCTCCAGTGGTTATTTTTTCCAGCAATACCTGGTCTTAATTTTTTTCACAAACACAGGGGAACAAAAGGCCTCGCTACTGGCACTGAGAAAGAAAAAAACTCTGTCGGGGGGTGAGTAACTGAACTGTGCATCTGCAGAAAGCAAGCCATTTTCGCTGCAACACAGTAATAACACGTGGGCAGCATTTCACCTGTTCCTCCCTGCGTCAGCACGTCATGAGGGAACCATTCTCCCATTCTTTCAAGTAAAATAAAGAATTCAATAATGGCAAGTGTGGTGAAATTCGCAATGTGTTAGGTTGGAAAACTTGATTGTTGAAGCTTTTGAACTTAGTTTTCAAAGGAGGCATTGCAGGCAACAACTCCGGTAGCAGTGCAAGTGCGCAAATTGCTAGAGCAACTGGCAATCAGATGTTCGCATTCATTGCAAATTCCGCAAAACTGTCCTTAATTTACTTCTTTACAATCCAACCAAGAATGGGTAAACCATGACGTGCTGACGTTGCTGGAGACACGTGATATGCTGCCTGGGCGTCACTGCTGTGTTGCAGTGAAGCATGTCTTCTCCCCAGGCACACATTTTAGTTGACCACTAACCTTTTTTTTTTTCATCTCCCTTTTTTTGTTGCACTGGAAGTAGCCACGCTGGGGTGCTTCAGCTGCCACTCATTAGCATTGCCACACTGCATTTCCCTATTTCTCTTAAAAGGACCAACAAGTGATTTTTTTTACCCAGTTTTTCTCGGCGCGTCCGGAAGCGTACTTTTCACTGTGTTCGCAACTGCAGTAGTTACTCCCAAAAGCGCGTAGTTATTTTATAAGCATAGGGGTGGAATAGCTGTACATATTGCACATTTTTTTATACGTTTCTGATTACTTGCACCAAGCTGCTCCAAAATAACGAAGAATTTTGATGCCAACCTCAGCTTCAGTGGGGAAAAAAGACTGAGTTGACAACATAATTTTTTGAACAGTGCCAGGAATACTATAAAAAGAAGACGCCCTAGTTTCTATAGAAAGAAAACCCTAGCGTGTTCTTTATTTTACACCTTTCTCGTGATGAGGGCTCCCACGGTGCCGTCATAATCTCCTGTGGACTATTGTAAATATGCGTGACCCCACAAAAATGTGCTGTCGTGAATCAAGTGTTCTGCTAGCTAGACTGTGTGTTCTGAGGCCACTGTCACTTTGCGAAAACCACCGAGTTAGCCGCCCTAACCGAGTGGACTGCGTAGCTGGATTTCGACTTTCAGGTTCTTTGTTGTGCGAAACACGTTTCTCTGGTCGTTGCAATTTTCATGTCAGCACTGCCGCGTGCGGTCACTTGCGCGCACGTGTTCCCACATCGGCGTCTGCAGGTAGCGAGAGACCCACTTAGTAGCAGCACTAAATACTCGTTCATAGTGCAGGGTACGAAACCTATAGGATTTGCAAACCCGTAGTGCACAAAACCTGTGGCATTCAAACCAGTTTCAAACGGGCACATCCGTGCTTTGTTCGTGACTCGTGACGCGTTGGTGATCATGTGGCACAGTTTTCGTAAACTGTGATTTGCAATACTGCTCTGTTTTATAATCGAAACTTGTGATGAGCGCTTTAAGAGGCATCCCTGCGAGCCGGCTCTGGGTTACAGGAGCTTTAGGCTTAGCTTTACTTTCGACTGGTGTTTTGATCGGTAGCCATTCCACAGTGTGACAGGCATACTTTTTTTTTTGCAAGAAATCTGGCATTTGTTGGTTTGGCAGTTCGTTTGCGTGGACTGCGGGGTGGTGCGGGTGTAAATCACAAGTCAATGGCCATAGATATTAAAGAAAGTATAACAGGCTAACGTTCGCAATACTGATAATGTGTGGTTGCTTGTGCCGAGAGGCGTTATCGCCTAGTACCATCGGCTTATCACTTAGTGCCATAGCATGTGCTTTACAAGATAGTCGATGCGGAGAGGTTTCTCGACTTTCGCGCGGCACTCTTGAAAGTGGTTCCTCACGAGGTGGCCATGAACGGCAGTGCACCGCGCTTTTTATTATCAGTTAAAAGCTTGTAGTACACTTGACGATAGCATGTCACTTTTCTTAAGTGAAGGCCCACTCTCAGGTAACTATTATTTTTGTGCAATCTCAATTTTAAATGCGAATGTGTTTCTTAGTCGGGCTTTGTCAGGCGTTCATTGGGATTTGTTCACCGCCCTCTCACATAGCAACAGCTGCGGGCACGCACATACTTAGCAACCGGAGCTCCCACCGCGTCACGTTTCGGCGTCAGCAGCTGTCAGCAATAGCTGCAGGCGCACGGGCTTATCCTTGTCCCAAGCAAACAGAGCCTCCACCTTCTTGACTTGAACGTGACTTGCCACCGCCTCAACGCAGTGTTTTTTAAATGCGTTTGTAGCGTTTGTGCTGCCAGCATTTGTGTAGTGTTTGTGTTGATAAGATGCTGACATTATGGTTGTCAGGTACAATGACACTTGCAGTGCTTCGCCACTCCTTTTCTCTCTGTTCGCTCTCTCTCCTCCCTGCGGCCCACTCTCCCGTCCCCTTGCTCATACGTATATATAAACGGAGTGAAGAGCGTGCCTCAATCTCGACCGTTCGCTGGCTGATGAATGTGTGAATAAATGGTTACAGTATAAATCCTCGTCTCATAATTAATTTACACCGTTAAAGTTACTATGTTGTGTAGTCTCGGCATAAGAAATGCCTTCACGATTCCCTTCGGGAAGGTGAGAGGGCAATTTTTTTTAAATTATTTATGAGTGCGGTGCCTTTCTCTTATGAAGTGATTGCGGTGAACCTAATTTTCAAAAACTTTTTTAAATATTATTTCACTTTTTTTACAAGGGCCGGAGAGTTCTCGTGTTAAGTAAAAAGGTAGTGAAGTTCATACCTGGCGATAATCTGTTCAAAAACCTTCTTTAAAGACTATTTTAGAGTAATGTGTACTGTAAGTAAGTAAAATGCACTTGTGCCCCCCCCCCCCCCCCGCGTTGCTAAAAATGAGCTTTTTAAGCTTCCAGGACCACATAATAAATGCCGCTGATTGTTCCAAAGTAAGGTTCGTCTGCTTCAAAATTGAATTTTGCTGCTTCAGAAGCTGCTTCCAGTTTATTCTCAGCTGTCTTACCCCTCTAAGCAGTATTTTTTTTTATTTGAAAGGCTCTGAATACTGAAGTGCCTTTTTGGCCGGCAACGCTGAGAATTGATAGCGGTGCCGGTAGCCATTTTAGCGACTTGTGCATGCTGTCATTGTTCTGCTTTCGCAGGAGTTTCTCTATCTATGCTTAACCACGTTTATTCTTAGCTTTACAACCATTTATCAAAATAACAAGCCATTACAATGAGACGATGTGCCTTTATACAGCTTCCTTGTATTCGTACCGCGTTGCATGCGCCTGCGCCCAAGGTTGATGCGCCTGTGTCGTAGATGGCTTGTCCAATCATCATTACTCTCTTGACAAACGAGCCAAGTCAAGTCACCAATAACTTCACGGTGTGTATTTTCTGAGACAAAGTGTCAGTAAAAACACATCACTCTAAAATCGTGGAGGCCTGGAAACTACATGCACGATTTCTTGAACACATAGGCGATTGATTGATTGATTGATATGTGGGTTGTCACGTCCCAAAACCACCATATGATTATGAGAGACGCCGAAGTGGAGAGCGCCGGAAATTTCGACCACCTGGGGTTCTTTAACGTGCACTCAGATGTGATCACACGGGCCTACTACATTTCCGCCTCCACCGGAAATGCAGCCGCCGCAGCCGGGATTCGAACCTGCGACCTGCGGGTCAGCAGCCGAGTGCCTTAGCCACTAGACCACCGCCGCGGGGAACACGTAGGCAAGTTGGGTCAAGTCGCGCTGACGAACACAGGATCATTTCATCATGCCAAGGCAGCGCCACTTTATTGCTTAAGACTAACGCAGGCCTATAAATACATTTATAAGGAGCAATATTTTTTTACTACAAAGAAACATACAATATTTCAATACTAACGGGACAATTGTTCACCGCGTACACTAGTTTACGATCACGTGATAGGGCAGCGCGGATAATTGAACTTTCTGCCACCAGGTGGAGCCACAGATTATTTTTGCGA